TATTTTGAGTTTTTGACAGATACTTTATATATTTATATTAATCTTAATATATTATCCATATTAGATTTTCGATATTTCATTTTTCACTCTCATCATTTATTTGAATAGAAACTCAGGTGCCTGGTGGGTTTCTCCAGGTCTTGTTGATGCCTAACTGCTTCGGCCCATTGGCTCTTTAGACTAAATTTTTTACCATATTGTATTAAGTTGGTGATGTTATATTTATGTTTAGCACACTTGAACTTGTATTCAGACTCTTAATTGTCTGTTTCTTAATGTGTTTCTTGAAGTCCTTTGGGTGTTCTAGATCATGCAGCTTCTATTTGTTTGATGTCTTATTTCGGTTGTGCTGGATTAAAGGTCCTTTGTAACCAAGGAAGTAATGGCCAAGGAAGGAGCACAAAGGGGTGACATAGGGTTTTTTGTGATAGATAAATGATGCTGGTTTCCACAAATCCTGCAAATTTCATGTATTTTGTTTTTTATTCTCTTATGAATTTTATATTATTTTTTCTCTTGTCCCCCCTCTCTGTACATGTCTGAGTTTGTTTGCATTTTTTGTACAACATGATGTATAATATTACTTCAGCAATAAATGAGAGTTAACTGCCATAAAAAGAAAGCAACTATGTTTCCTAATTTATGTGTCTATTCTAGCTTGTCTTGGACTAGTTGATCAAACATCCTCTATTTTAAGTTGAAGTTTTATTTTGCTGGTTGTAGTGGGCTTTGAGCACATTGAAGAAACCCATTGTAACCATAAACTGGCTATATCAATGCTGGAAGGAGCATCGCATTGTCCCGCATGAAACATATAGAATTCCGCCTTTTACTGGTTTGATCGTTTGTGCAACCAAAATCTCAGCAGGTTGGGCGAATTATATCATCAGTCATTCTTTCTTTCTATATTTCCGATTATACCATTGGCCATTGGTCATTCTTCTAGTATTTTTCTTTTTTTTCATTTAGCTTTATTAGCGTGATGCTCGAACCAACTGAGCTAATAAGCCAGCTTTAAAAAATTCCACTATTGGGCGGTCCCACTGCAATTGCTCAATAGTGAATTTTTTTACAATTGATTTTATTATCTCCGTTAGGGCTTTGTGATAGTAAAACAGCAAAAAATAGTCCTCTTCACCTGCTTTCTGGTAAAATTAGAGCACCGAAGAGGGATAAAGCTCTCTCTCTCTCTCTCTCTTCCCCCAGATGAACGTAAGGAGATGGAAAAGCTTATTGCTCAGAATGGTGGACAGTATTCTCCTGACCTGACCAAGAAGTGTACGCATTTAATATCTAATATATCCTTTTGGGCGATCTTTCTATGAACTTTTTAATTCGGTTTGCCTTTTTGGTATGTTTGTAACTGTCCAAAGATTAAAAAACAGTCGATGTGGATATAACAAGCATTATATATCTAATGAGCCGACCTGTTATGATATATAAGGGAAGAGTAAGGGGGATTAAAATGCTAAAATGGCCCCTTTTTTTTTTGTTGTATGGATTTTATAAAATGGTCTCCAACCTGCGATATGAGGTCTTTGATTTTTCATAAAATAATAATGGAAAATGGAAATTAACAGTAATAATATTTGTTATTTAAAAAAATTGCAAGTAATGGCCATTATTTTTGAAAAGTTCTTGCTCTAAAAAAGTTCTGTTTTTTAAAATTTTTCTCCATGTTTTCTCTATTTTCTCATTATTTTCAATTTGTTTGTTAGTCTCCTTTCTATTTGTATTTACAGTTTTTACCCCCTTTTTTCTGTATTTTTTGGTTGAGTGCCATTTGCCTGATATAACAGTCAATACCATTATAAAATGAAAACATATGATTCTTGCTTCTTTGGTTCCTTTTGCTATGTTTCCTGAGTACCCTTTTGCGATGTGCTTTTATTCCTTAGTAGAAGTGGTTACCTTGACTGGCCGTATACATACCAGAAGGTGATAAATATCGGGTTGCCAAAACTTGGGGCCATATACGAATTGTTAATAAAAAATGGCTCCAGCAATCTATTGCTGCAAGAGGTGGTCTCTATCATTTTTTTGCATGTGCATTATTACCTTGACTTTCTGATGGAATTTTGTCAATATAAAGTTTTACTCACCAATATTCAGTTCGCTATGCGTAGCCTGCCTAGATGAAGACTTTTATCCTGTACAAGGAGCGAGAGTTTCTTCTAGTAATACTTCAAAAGGTGGTCAAAAACAAAAAGATAGCACAGAGAAGGTTACTTCTCTATCCCTACCTTCAACAGTGCCTCTTAGTCTACAGAGTAACCTGTCCCAGAGCATATCCAATGCAGTTTCAGATTCTTATGTTAGTGTGACAGAAGAAATAGAGAAACCAACCTTACAAGCTGCAGACGAATCCAAGTCTCACAATGTTGTTGCTGAGGACAGTCAAGCTGAGGATGATGACCTCTATTTAGCAGAATGCAGAATTTTACTTGTAGGTTTTCAGTTTGCTGAAATGCGGAATCTAGTAAATATGGTGCATAAAGGTGGAGGTTCTCGGTACATGTCATTCAATGAAAAGCTGACACACATAATAGTAGGAATGCCTTCTGATGTGTAAGATCCTTTCATTTGGACTTGGTTCCTTTCATTTGGACTTTGTTTACAGTTGGCTTGGAATTTCATATGTAAGTCATATTATTATAAAAAAAATTAAAATTCATATGTAAGTCAGATTGATAAGGTTTTCCTTATTTGTCTATTCTTTCAACTTGTTTGATAAGGACAACATGAGGTCAATCTGTCAGTTCTTGCAGCTATCCTAAATCGACTGTTCTTTCACCAGTGAAAGGAAGGAGATTCGACGGCTTGCATCATGGGGTGTAATCAATGTTGTAAGCTCCATCTGGTTGGAGGATTGCACTCGTGAAAAGAAAGAAGTCGACGTGACCTTGAGACATAAAGTAACTGATTCATCTCTTTCGCAGGGTCAGTGGGATTCCTATCTTATGCAATCTTATTAACTACTTGTAGCATAAAGAATGGGTACTAGCGTAGTAATTTCTGCTCTTGCTCCCTCATACTAAGTGTTTTTTTTTTTCACATGTTCATGGTTGAATTACGTTTCTCATGGTTAAACAATTACATCTTGTCTTATTTGTTTCTGCAAGTCAATATCTTCTCATGTTATCATGATTGTTCCCTTATAGAAGTGATACAAAATATTTTGTATTATTAGATGAATTGAACATGTCAAGAGTTGCTGATATAAAGCATAAACAAAGCTGCCGAACTGCAATGGGCCTTGAATTCGAAAAGGCACCTAGTGAGCAAGGAGATTCATTGCAGGGCAATGCTAATATGTCCAGAGAAGAAGGGGGACTGTTAAAGACAAGCTTGAAGCCCAGCAAAACAACAAATGAAAATGCCAGAACTAAGCAGAATAATGGGTTGAATGCTGTAAATAATGATCCTGTAAGTAGGCACAAATCAAAACGTGAATTGGAACCAGTGTTTGACAAGGATAGAAAGCCATCAAACATTTTTGGAGGCCGAAAGTTCTGTTTTTCTGAATCTTTTCCCCAAGACCGGGTGAGTGGGATATACATTCTCCTTTTTGTGTTCTATATTCCTTTCCTATTACTGTATTTATTTCTATTCTAACTGGTTCTAGCTCATGTTTGAAAAATTGTTTCTGGATAATATCTTATACAACTCACAGCACTTCAGATTACTTGCTTGCTGACATATGAGTTGGATTGTGCTATCTCAATGTGATCAGAATGCGCTGAATCATGATAAGGGTGTTCCTGGTCATGTTTTAAAAATGTTAAAAGAAAAAGGAACTGTTTGTCGAAATTGATCAATGATATGATCTGGCTGTTCCTGTTAGGTTCTTCATTATAATAAATTTGTAAATATAAAACTCTGTAACCTCATGGCTGGCACTGGTCCCTTCCAGCCGAACTGATTGGAAAGCAAACCATGTGGGGCCTTCATAGGAAGTTTACAGTACTGATCTCCAGATCATTGATATCTTTTTGTCTATATGTGTTCCTTTCTTATGTTAAAGGTAAGTGTTCTTTCTCCTGTTTTCAGAGAGCAGAAATTGTTGGCTGGGTCATCCATGGAGGAGGATTGATAGTGGATGATCAAGGATCGGAAAATGTTGACTTTGTCATAGAATGTCATGGTGTGGTCGACGGCCAGTCTGATCGTTGCCATTCTATTCTTGTTTCCAGTCATTGGATTCGATCTTGCTTAGAGGTATATCTGACTATGAGGCGTGCACTATCTTGTGGTTCATTAATATCCCCCATGTGCAAGCAATATTCTTATGGATACCATCTATGCTTTTCTTTAATAATCACAATTATCAACTATGTCCTTTTATCTGAAGTTTCTTATGTCGTAGATGTTAACATAGAAGTCTCTTAAGCACATCTTTTTTCAAATTGATTTGTCCATTTAATGCTTTATTTTGTTCTAAATCTCATCCATTCCGTGCTCTCAGATAGAAAGAAAAGATGGAAAACCTACATGATTTGAATTTAAGTCGAAACATGGATTTCTATTCGTTCTACCAACTATTGTTTGTGCATATAAATTGCAACACTGTTTCCATTTACTGTGAATTTAACTAGTCTTATGGAATGCTATCAAAGTACAATGAATGCTTAGCTAAATGATATCATAGTATGGTAAATCTACTTTGTTAATGGGTTTGGCATGCTTTCACATAGTAACTTTACATGAATTGCATTCATGATTTGATACACAAAGCATATGAAAAACAAATTAAATAATTAATACATGAAGTTCAAACTCATCACCAGGACACCAATCTTTTTTTTTCTCCTTTTTTTTTTTTTGGGGTTGAAGATCGCATCACCATGACAACAATCAATACATCAAGTTCAAGCTTCATCTATCCACTAGACAAGAACCTCTCCTTATTTGACTGCTGCTGCACTATTAATATGCTCTGGAATGCATGCAGTCAAAAAGGAAATACTGTAATACATGTGTCTAATATAAGAAAAAACTTTACATAGCCTTTCAATTTATATCCATGATTCCTTAACGTCAAAATCTGTCATGTAGTCTCTGTTTAGAGGCGGAATGGCAGGATTTTGCTGCAACTGTGATGCCTAGGAACTGGACTTTGGTTCCTCGGGATTCACCACGGCTGAGGACAGCCATTTCTCTTGGGTTTAGGCCATTGTTGTCATTTATCTCAGTGGGGATAAAGGGTTTGGTTGCACCATGGGGAGGCGGAGAAGGGAAGGGTACCATAAGATTTGTAACAGTAAGTTATGTATCATCCCTATATGCATGTAGCTTAGGTTATGGATGTACGAATTAGATACATTTGGGGAGAATTTTTCTCTAAATGTATTGAGGAATAATAAATGGGCAAGTTCTATTAGGGCTCAGCATATGACAACTGCTAGGGAGATTATGTGATAAACCTTACTGACTGTTTCTTTCATTAAAAGGAATTAAAGGTTATCCTTCATGTGATTGATGGCCCAAAAATGAAGAAACAAAGCGGTATTAAATGTACAAATAGGACTTACCAGACCTGCAAGTTCCAAACATTACAAGTTTTGAGCCTGTAATCAGCCTGACAGCTGCTTTATCAATCTGTCTAGCAATGGGAATTGGTACTTTACACTACCTCCTTGGATGTAGATGTCTCGATTATGACAGTTGCTCATATATATCCTTAACCCGTTCCAATTCCTAGCAATAATGATGTCTTTCATCTGTTCTGATGGATTAAATAAATTTTACTCGATTGTCATTGCCTTTCCGCCTTGCAAACTAAAAAACTAGTTCATCGCGACATTGCACAAAGATGCCCCATGTGGCATGGGTGATGACAAGAGTATTATTGCTTCATCAAACAGTTGATCGCATACTCAATGAAATTCGGTGGCAGAAGCATGGTTTATGAGACTTCTAGCTATCAGCACTTGCTTATCCTGTACTTGAGGCTTTGAAGCATGGTTTCTTACTACAGTTTCAACTATCTACACTTGCTTATCCTCTACTTGAGACATTAACTCGTTAACGGGCATATTGCCTTTATTAACAGCATGTAGTCTATTTCCTGCCTTTCATAACTCCGCAGTTGGTTGAGGCATTGAAGCATGGTTTCTTACTACAGTTTCAACTATCTACACTTGCTTATTCTCTACTTGAGACATTAACTCGTTAACGGGCATATTGCCTTTATTAACAGCATGTAGTCTATTTCCTGCCTTTCATACCTCCGCAGTTGGTGCATTGTTCATACATTCTTTCTAAATGCAACTGAGTCTCTTGTTGTTAAGCACTTCATCAAGTTGCAAACAATTTTAGCTCTTGGTAGTGTTCAAAATCCTCGACATAATCACGGGGTGATTTATATTTCACGCACCCATCTCTTGAGGTTCATCTAAAGTTTGGTATGTATTGCATTAAAAAAATTGCTAAATATTCTTTCCTACCAAGTAATGCTTTACCTAACATTCTTGCTATGAATAATTGTTTACATCAGCGTGCTGAGACTTGCCTTGGCCAGGGAATTCGCCCCTTGGCTGAGGCGATTTTCTCTGCCGAGACTTGGGACTCAGCTGAGTCCTACACAGGGCTGAAAATCCCTCAATAAATTTGAAAAAAAACGAAGAAAAATTTTAAAAAGAAAAATTGTATTAAAAGCAAAATGAAACAAAAAACAACCTTAAGGAGTCCACGTAAGCTTAAAAAGTGTTGAAAAAATGGATTTAGAAAAAAATAGATTTATAGCTGGGGGCATTTTAAAAAATTCAAAGAAAGGAAAAATTATAAAAATAGGGATTATGGCAAAAATACTCACCAATCTTTGCCAAAAACATATAAATCATAGTTGCGGGAACCTTGGGGGTAAGGACTGTCCCACCTTAGGAACTCGATCCCCGAGGTTCCTCTAAGGGATCTTAGAGGGAGTTGGTTTTGGGAAATAGGAATCTCGTGCACTATAAAACGGGATATCGGTCTACACGCTTGTAGGATCCCTCCAAGGAGAGGAGCTACACTATTAATTGAACTACTACTCCTCTCCTTAGTATTATAGATTTATTTATTTGAAATATGTTAAATAATGGTGCATATCACATCGTGGTATACTATAATTATGGTACTGAAAAACTATAGTTCAATATCATAGTAAGCCAATTTATGATATTATTAAATTGTATTATTGTAGCGAATTGAAGTACTATAACTATGGCATTGTTGAAACTAAAGTTGTATGATAATGGATCAAGCGGGTATGGTCTTGATCCTTATTTTATCATATATTATGAATTGATCTTGTTTATGTATAGTTGAACTTAGATCCCTCCAAGTCAAAACCTTGATTCCAATGTCCTGGGATCTCACACCCAAGTATCTTAGGATCTAGCTTCTTAACTTGTTAACTTTACGGAAGTCAATCCTAACCCAAGAGAGCTTGCACCCTAGGGTGGTTCGGTATTCCCCGAACAGACCCCACCCCCACCTCCAGCAACTATGATGAAATCATGCAATCATCCCACATTTTTTACAGTTTTTTTGAATTTATTATTATTATTGTTATTTTAATATCCTCGACTTGTACACGCAACTCAGGGAAATTTGAGTGAGTCCGATTGGACTTGGCCGACGCACTGGTTTACATTTAATTGTGAAGTCATTTACACTACCTGTTGGCATCGTAAGAATTCGGAAGAAACATTTTTGTCATTGTTGAATCTTCAAGTATTGAAATTTTATCTTAACCTTGGGGCGTGAGACACTGGTCAGGCTGTACTTTGGTGTATAGATTCATAAATTTTAACAATTCTTCTAAGGACCCGGTTTCTATGTGGCCAAGCTCGCATATTTTTGAGATGGATTTTAAGACTTAATTTTTAAGGACATGTAATCTCTAACTTGGAGATCATGAATATGAATAAATAAATAAATTTTAAAAACTAAAAATAATAATTCTAGTGAGAAAACATGTGGACCGTTAGTCTCCATTGTTTTTAGATGGAGCACCTACTTGCATCCATCTTAAAGATGGATGCTTTACACTTTCTGGACTGCATATGTAGAAATGCAGTCCAGCCCGCATGAAACAATTTTCCTTCTTCCAAATGCGTTTCAAGAGAATAGTGTTTTGGCTTTCGACTGATGACAAAATATGTTTCTTTCATTGGTCATTTCAAGTAAAAAGATACAAGACCTCCGTGAAACGATAATAACATTTTTCCAAGGAAAATGTTTATATGACCATCCAACTAAGTTGGGCGGTGGTAGCTCATGGGGGCATGTGGGAATGCCCACATAGTACTCGCGTCCTTTTTTCCCAACATTATCACTATATCCTCCTTCTATTAGCTATACGTTGAGACTGGTAGGGACCTTTTCTCTTTATGAATCTCGCATGCATTCTTAACAAATTAGATTGTCAATTTAAAGATTGATGAGCACTCTTGCTCTATGGCTTTGTTATGCATGTTCTTTCAACAACTTTATTATTCCGTTTTCAGCACTTACAGACTACCGTTGACTGACGAGAACTCTTTGGCAAATTCTGCACCTTGGTAGATCTGATGAACACTTGAAACCCTAGGGGCCTTATCTGGTTCATCTTAAAACCTGGGTCCTGTCCCAAAATGTATAGAGTTTCAAATTGTACTTGTTGCATCACTGTCCTTTATGCAAGCACAATTGTTAATGGGTCGTTCGGGAGCCTAGGATATACAATTTATTCTCTTACATATCCAGGTTTCAATGGCCTAAGGTTGTTTAGGCATATTTTTGGAGATCATATACCAAATATTCACATCCTCAAAACTGTTCATATCCAGCATTTGCTCATTCAAAAAAAAAAAACTTGGAATGAGCAAATGCAAGCTTTTGCATTAGGGCGTATGCCTCTTCCACTGTTTCTTTCTCACTCCTCGTAATAATGATATCATTCTATAGTTATAATAGTTATAATATACATATTCAATGTTTATTATTATTTTAAATATTTATTATGATATATCATCAACATAATTAATGTTAGTTTTATTATATTATAATATGCTGTTGGGTGGTCAAGAAACAACACACCCATAAAATGAATGTAGCTGAGATGAGGATGTTGAGATGAATGAATGGCAAGACAAGAAGGGATAGAATTCGAAATGAATACATTCGGAAGAATTTAGGTGAGGCACTAATAGGTGATAAGATGAGAGAAAATATACTTAGATGGGCTGACCATGTGTGGCACAGACCCAATACAACACCTATTAGGAGATACGAGTTAGTTGAAGTGGAAGGGTTCAAAAAAGGCAAGGGGTAGGCCCAAAAAGATATGGTGGAAGTAGTGAGAAAATATATGGGACTTATGGCACTAGGATTCGTGTAGCTGACTCCAATTAGTTGGGAAAATGCTTTTGTTGATGATGATGATGATGATGATGATTGTGATATTAAAATATGCTATTATAATATAATAATGTTATAATATAATAGTAATATATAATATAAATGTATTTTTTTAAGGTAATAATAGAAATGTATTATAATAATAATCTTATTATCTTAATATATTAATAATATTATATTAATTTTATATTATTTTGCATTTTTGTTATAATATTTATTAATATTATAACAAAAATTCAAAATAATATAGTATTAATATGTGTTATTGTTATTTTCATTATTATTTGAAATATTTATATTGGAATAGTGATCATTTAAATATTTGAATAAACAAATGTATATTATAAATGATAATATTATGAGTGGAATATATTGTGTTGGTCATGTTACTCATAATTATTTATTATTATTTAAGAATTACATGTTTTGTATATGATTTGTTCGAATAAGCAATATGTTCTTCAACCTTCTAGTGCATGCACGAGAGAGAGAGAGATAGAGAGAAGGGATGTAAATCAAAATTTGATGTAAAATGTTGTACAAAATAAGATATAAACCGGCTAACTTGTTTCTCATATTATAAATAGCTTATTTCCAGGAAATCATTATAATTGGAGAAATACTAATATGTAATCATCAAATTATGAAATGAATGGTTAAATTGGTTTAATAACAAATTACCAAAACCTGGTTTTACATTTAGATGAGCCGAATTGTGGATTTATTATATATTGGGTTCATATATGAAAGTTGGACTATGTGATCAAGCACAGTGTATATGAATTAAAGTTTTTTTTATTCTTACACCGGCAAGACCATTTACAATGTCCAATTACAAATAAATAACTCTTGAAACAAATAAATAAAACAAAAGAAACATGGTTCTCACTTGCTATCACTATTGCATAGAATTCCTTAATCAAAACCTTGATTCATTGCTTTATGGGAATATAAGAGCTCAACAAAAATAAAATTTAAAGAAGTAAAATTGCCGGAGTTACCTTAACCGGGCTTGGTACACCTCACGTCGAGTCTCTTCCTTCCAATGGTGCTTGAGATCATTAATCGATCCCTTGATTCTCCTACTTGTGGCAAAACCCTCTCAAAGGCGTATGGATCTTGATCTAGAACCAACTAACTAAGGCGTCAATGCCCTAGTCTTACTCAAGCCTCTGTCTGCTCTTTAGAGAGATGAGAGATAAAAATCAAAGAGAGGGGGAGAGATCTACTAGCTAGGGGATGCTCCCCTTTGCTCCCCACAAACAGACGACAAACCCTAGCTTTTGCGTGCCCCTTAGAAAAAACAAGAGAGCGATGAGATAGCTTGGGCGTACCCCCTTTTGAAGACTTAAGGAGAGAGAGAAACCCTAAGTTGGGGTGTGTGCCTCTCTTGAGAGATCTTGAGAGAGATAATTCTTAGAGAGAGAAGAGAGAAGAGGTGTAGAGATTTGGTAAGGGGGAAGAATCCTTGTTTATAGATTTTTTATGCCTTAGGGTTTGCAATCTTTAGTGAGATCAAATCTTGACCGTCAATCTAAAGAGACTTGTGGGTGAGAGATTTGAGCTATCCATTCATTTGATTCACCGTCAAGATTCAAATGAAGGTGCTAGAACCTTATCCTCCACTTCTTAAACCTGTTCCCATCACATATTTAGATAAGGAAAATATTTATCATACTTTCTTATTTAATAGATATCCATTCCTTATGTCTTGAATCAAGCAATCTTGGTACACAAGACTTTCTAAAATTTCAAAATTTGATTTCATTGTGCAAGTTGGATTCATCTAAAATTAGAAAGCCAACTAACTTGAGATAACTATCACCTTATTTGGTGATATAGTAATCCCCGATGGGTGGGGAATGCCACCCTTTGGTGGCCTCTTATGGGCCCCACCCTATAAGCCACATGTGTTAAATGGGCCCCCATATTTTATGGAGGGTCCTACATAATTTTAGAAAATATAAAACTTGATTTTTAGAATTTAAATCTCCTAGTTTATTTAAAACATTGGAAAATGGCTTTCTTTTAATTTATAAATTCAAATGAAAAAATTAAAATATCAAAAAATTCATAAAAATTCAAATAAATATTTTAAAAGTCTTATAATATATAATTAATTAAAACTAATTAATTTTGATGGGAATCGGATCCGGCTAGGTCTAGGAATTTATCAATGCACTGAAGCACTCCACCTTCAACTGCGGACCATAATCCACCTAACTTTCTCAAACTGACCTAGCAGTTCTCTTGACCCACAATCCATTGCAGTGGCTCATGATTGGACTTCCAAAGTTAGCCAATAGGCTAGGGGACGCAATCCCAGTATGTGGATTTCAGGTTCTCCCCGAGAGACAAAACCATGGTCCTCCAGACCATGATGCAACCACAACTCTATGTTGCATAGGGGTAATCTTTTATACATCTACATGCTTCACCCTCAATGGTGAATCACTATCTCAATACGGCTACTTATGTACATGCCGTGTGATGATACAGTGATGAGGTTTTAGCCTTGTCTCTAAAGGCTATTCATCACACACAAGGGTCACACAGTCCTTTGGCTTTCATCCGGGCATACTGCGACCTCATCAAGGGCAAACCCACTAAACCCTTCTCGGTTTCATCTCTATGCTCAGGTAACTTGGGTACTCGACTCGTCTAGCACATCGAGCCTAGTCCGAGTATCGGCAAATCACATTTGCTTAGTATGGTCCACACGAGGACCACACTCCCACTGAGTTTTTGTTTCACTATATAAAATGCTTATACAAGCTCTCATAAGGCCTTTAAAGGCCACATAAACCCAACATTCTAGAAGCTCTACCCAAATGGCATTCTTCCTAAACCATGTTTTACTAATACCAAAATTTGTAAACCTCGGATTTGATGCGTAACCAAGTTTTGCAACTATTAGGTCCCAAACGACTCTTAGCGACTAAAATTCCCATGAGTTGTTTTGAAGTTGGCAATGCATGACCACAGTACTCCTGTTACTTGTACGTGATATGGAAAGAATTGATGGATATTTGGGGAATCCGAGGGCAGAAATTTAAGAGAGAGGGAGAGTGTTCCATCAAGGTAGAAGGGAAGCATAAGACTCGCCATTTGGATTTTAAAAGCTGAAAGGTTATCTCACTCATTGTTCCAAAAGGCGGACCGCCTATTGCCTAGGCGGCTAGGGGGTGTGGACAGCTTGCCCGGGCCAAGGTGGTAAAAATAGACCTGGGCACCCAGTGCAGAGGTGCGAAAATACCCCTCATTGAGGGGCATTTTTGGGTCGTTTAATAAAAATAAAATTGTAAAAAGTGGGGTTTAGGTTCATTTCAAACTTAAACCCCATTGGAGCCAGTTTTAGAGAGATAGAAAGCTCAAAAAATTTGATGTTTGTGATTTCTATAGGATCGAAGGGTTTCTCAAAGTTACAAGAAATCGATTGAAACATCATCTATTGAGGTTAGATTTAGATTTGGAGATTTTATAGGTCTATTAAAGGTTTTTTAGAAGATTTTGAGATTAGAAAACATCTCAAAGGTGGAAGTTTGGAGATCGAGCAATCAAAGTTCTTTTTAGTTTTCACTGTATATGGACTGTGGAGTGCATAGAGTTTGGATTATGATATGGACTATGGATATGGACTAATACTCTTATGCCTAATAGTGTGAAGTTTAAACTTCAAAGTTTGATTTTTGAATTTGAAATGCATTTGAATATGTCTCACTATGTGTTTTTTAATTTTTTACACAAAATCTAACCTTAAACAATTTTTTATTCTACTGGGCCGCCTAGGATCTGCGCTCCTGCCTAGGCGCTGGGCAGCCTAGACCCCCCGGCTGCCTAGGCACCACCCGGCATTTTTTGGAACACTGACCTCACTTGTCATTTATAGCAGTGTTGTTAGAAAAGGTGTGTACATATAAAATATCTGTTATTGAATACAAAAGGGCTTCCATGTCATTTTTCGGTTGTTAATTCTCAATGAAATTATTTTTTTCATTCTATTTCTTTGTATGAGTGGTATTCATCCCTTCTTTGTTCTTGAAGATTTTGGTTTAGTCAGCAGTTGTGGAATTATTTTTGGAGCCTCCCAAAAAGATACAGAATTTATTGGTGTTTTTTACGGATAGCTATTCTTGAAATATTTAAATCCTGTGGGAATCTTTTGATTTTGGTGTTGAAGGAGGGCGTGATGCCAGATGTTGGAAGTCACATTCTATACTCGCCATTACCATGCCGGGTACCTCTACCTGGCTTTGAGGGAATTCGATTTTGCATCTCCCAATATGAGGTCAAAGAGAGACTGTTATTAAGGAATTTGTGCTTCATTCTTGGAGCCAAATTTTCAGAAAAACTGAGCAGAAAGACAACACATCTAATATGCAAGTTTGCTAGTGGGGTAAAATATGAGGCTTCCTCCATGTGGGGTATAGAACCAGTAACCGCGGAATGGATCACAGAATGCATCAGGCAGGTACTTCCCATGTATATAGTTATGTTTGCGTGCTTGGCATACCAATTTACCAAAAGGATTTCATCTAAGTATTCAGTGAGAAGCTGTCGATATGTTCTACGATACGCAGGACAAAATGGTTCCTCTCAATGCATTTCGACCAAAAGTGGTTACTTCCCAGGACAAAGATGCAGGTTTATGCACAACAACTCAGTATTCTACACAAGCAGCTCCTTTGATACCTGGAGAGCTTCCATCCCAGTGGATTAGTGATGCTCAGGGTCCACTGAAGCCATTGAAACCAAATGAAGCTAATAGATCAGGTTTTTGTACGTTAATTATCTGCTTGATTATCGTAAATGTGAAGTATACTATAATTTCATGATCAATGGAAACACTGTAGTCCATTGGGTCATCATTGTCAAATCATTGGATGAGTGCAGATGGAGCCTGGGACCCAGCAATCCACCATTGGGGTCATATCATCTTCTGGTGGGTCGCATATTCTCTCTCTCTCACCCTCAATCTGTTGATTGAACAGTTGTGATCCAATGGACCATGGACCATGGTTGTGGATTTTCCATTGTCTATGAGACTATGACATTATAGTGTACTTGGTAAATTTGTTGTACCAATGGAATGTTCTCGCCCTATACAGGGATTCAAAGTGATAGCCACATGGCAGAAGCTGAACAGTCAAACTCTTTTTTCAAAAAGCCGAGGCAGGCAGAGCATGCTGTGGATAGGGAACCACTTACTTCAGACACATCGTCTCACTACAAATTTCCTTCTGAGAAGCTGCAAACTTCTAGTAGTGTTCTGGAAGATGACATTAAAGATTCTGATGCCTTTACTGATGTCGCAGCTACTATTGAGGGCTGGTTAGAGAAATCAAGCAAGGTAATAAGCTTTTGATATTCCTAAGACTGGATTATGTAATTTAATTTTTCCAATGTTCTTTCCAGACTTACCACATGAACATTTATTTTGCAAGAATCGAAGTATGAAGTCCCCAGAGGGAACAGGTTGTGACCAAAATGTATCCTTGTGCTAACTTAAATCTGGTTAATTGTACCATTTGCCTCTTTATCTTTCATTGTGGCTTGTATAAGTACTTAACTTGTATAGATGCAGCTCTTTTCACCCGAACGTTTGATGATACGTGAAAGTCCAGCAGATGCTCCCTCTTCTTTTGGTATATCCAAGCCTTGGTTGAGGTTAGTTTTACAAAACTGATAAAATCACAAAGAGATTACTGTGGGTGTGGTTGACCAAAAAGAGGAGCAGGTTGTGGGAGTAGGGCTGCTGGCCACGAAGACTTGCTACCTATGTGTGTGTCTTTATTTTTGTGTTTTGTGTTTTGCGTTTTTGTGTTTTGCGTTTTAAGTGACTAAATGACTTACCATGCATTTCCTATTTTTTTCTAAATGTGTTGCCCTTCCCTCTAGCAATTCTGAGAAACATGGTCCTCACAATCAATTTGGTCGTGATGAAAGAAAGCAAGGGTTATGTGATGGTTTTAGTGAATCACAAATGGAATCTCAGGTTCTCACACGGCCTCTTTCTCTTGCATTTGTTACTCAGTTGACAGTCATCCTTTGTCTTACTTTTGCTTCACCTGTATTGCAGGTTGTGGGGTATGAAGAAGATCTGACCGGAAGGCAGATGATAATAGACAGAGTGAGGACACGGAGCATGTCACTAAATACACAAAGAGAGCAAGGACAGGAACGGATGAATAGTAGCCTCGGGCGCCTCCTTAAAGTTGCCGAAGAGAACAAATAGTCTCTCTCTCTCTCTCTCTCTCTCTCTCTCTCAC